TTAAACTTCCCAAAGTAATCTTACCTCACCGTTCAGGCATTAGCATTTCCCCCTCCCCCTTTGCTTAAGTCCTGTGTGGCTACTCCACAAATTACATGGTTTTCCACATGAGTCAAGAGGGAGGGATGAACTTATAATTAAGACAGATATGCAGCATGGTATGACATTCAGGTGAGCCTGACTCATTTTGAGCTTGTGTCCTCATGATTGAGGCAAGAAGTTATTACGTCTAAGAGGATTCTTTTGATTCGGCTATATGCTGCCTTTTTTATGTGCTGATTTTTGCTCTCACCTGTTTATCATACAGTGTTACAAGTGGGCATCAGTGTACAGTGTTTGCAAATGCTTGATGTTTTGTCTTCTTATACCTTTAAAGGCTCAACATTTGCCAAAGCCAAACCTGAAATTCCGTGGACATCCCTGACGCGGAAGGGGCTCGTGCGAGTGGTGTTTTTCCCGTTGTTCAGCAGCTGGTGGATTCAGGTTACCTCTTTAAAAATCTTTGTTTGGCTGCTACTGCTTTACCTCATGCAAGGTAATTGGAGGAATTGGAACAAGTTATGACCATTTCTTTTTGCTGTTTTTGCTGTTAGATGGTACAGACCTTACTGTTCTTACATTGATCCTTTCATTTGATGGTTGAAAGTGCAAAGAAATGAAGGGACGTAGGGACATACAGCGTGTGGAGATCATCTTAAAATTTGCTCGGAGAGCGCAGACGCAACAGTCTAACTCTCCTCTCCCCACCTGCCTCACCGCCAGGCTCTCAGTCTCTTCCTCGGTCTGGCACTGAGCACTGGTCACCTCCCGGCGGGATCCCCGATTCCCTTCCCACCTCTGGGTATTCTCAGGTCCCGTTACTTTAAATATAATGGATACACTGATGGTTCTCAAATGTGCATCTTCAGATCCCTCTGCTGAGCTTCAGACTCCAAATGCCATTGCTGGCCTGACATTCCCGTGGAGATGTGACGGGGTCTTGAGCTTAGTCATATCCAAAATGGAACTCTAGATTTTTTATCCAAAAACTTTTTTGGGGGGAGTACAAGCTTGTTCCTTTTTAGGACTTGCATTGCATTAAATGATGTCATCAACCACCCAGTTTTCAAGTGAAATATTGTCTTTCTAGCTTTCCTGCAATCAACTCTCACATCCAACCTGTCACTAAGCCTGTAAGTTCAGCCTCTGAAACACGTCTTGACTCTATTTATCTGTGTCGAGCCATCGCCGTCCCAGCACCGGCATCCCTCTGCTCGGGCCACTGGAACACTTCTGCTCTGAGTCTTCTTCCTACCAGCCGTTCTTCTCACAGCACTTGGAGAAATCTTTTAACACAGGAACCATATCCTGTCATTTTCCTGCTTGAAACCCTCTAGTGATTCCTCACTGCCTCTAAAATAAAATCAATCCAAGTTCCTCACTGTGGCCCGCAGTGCCCCACGTGACCTTTTCCTGCTGACCTCTGGACGTCCTGTCTTACCGCTCTCCTCCGTGCTCACTCTCCACGCAGTGGCCTTTTTCCTGTCCCTCACACAGAGCTTTTCTCTCTGAAACAACCCTAAGGCTTTTCACGGGGCTGTGTTTTTTCTGTTGTTAAGTTCTCAGCTCAGATGGAAGCTGTCACTTCCACAGAGAGGCCGTCCTCTCTCTGCTTCCTGATCAGCCCCCTTTCCCCCAGTCTCTTCCCAGCTCCAGTAGAGTGTCTGGCACGTGGAAGACACACCTTGAATATTTGTTGATTGAATGAATGAACGAATGTGTTTCTGTTGCTAAGGGAGCTTTTCATAGTTTGGTATTTATCACTGGTCAATGCTCGTTTTCATTTTATAACATAGGTGAAAAGTCTAGAAAGGACCAGCTCCTTTAAGGAGCATGAGGATTAAGCCTCTCCAGTTAGAGGGAGTCAGAGATAGAGACCAAGAAACGTAAGTTTACCTTTTGCATTTCAAAGGGCTTCTTTTCTTTACTCCTGTTTCTGTTCCGTCCTAGGGCTTCAAAAACAAACCAAAAAAGATGGGTCACATAAAGGCAGACTTGATTGACGTTGACTTAATCCGAGGTGAGTTCGAAATTGGGTTGGTTTCTCATGTGTATTATTATTTCATGCGGTACTAAAGGTTACTTTTAGCTATCGTCCCTATGTGATAGTGTATTTAAACTTCCCAAAGTCTTTTTTTTTTTTTGGTATAAGCTTGTTCCTTTTTAGGACTTGCATTGCATTAAATGATGTCATCAACCACCCAGTTTTCAAGTGAAATATTGTCTTTCCTGCCATCAACTCTCACACCCAACCTGTCACTAAGCCTGTAAGTTCAGCCTCCGAAACACGTCTTGACTCTATTTATCTGTCTCGAGCCATCGCCGTCCCAGCACCGGCATCCCTCTGCTCGGGCCACTGGAATCCATCTGCTCTGAGTCTTCTTCCTACCAGCTATTCCTTTCACAGCACTTGGAGGAATCTTTTAACACAGGAACCATATCCTGTCCGTTTCCTGCTTGAAACCCTCTAGTGATTCCTCACTGCCTCTAAAATACAATCAATCCAAGCTCCTCACCGTGGCCCACAGTGCCCCACATGACCTGTTCCTGCTGACCTCTGGACATCCTGTCTTACCGCTCTCCTCCGTGCTCACTCTCCACGCAGTGGCCTTTTTCCTGTCCCTCACACAGAGCTTTTCTCTCTGAAACAACCCTAAGGCTTTTTCACGGGGCTGTCTTTTTTCTGTGTTAAGTTCTCAGCTCAGATGGAAGCTGTCACTTCACAGAGAGGCCGTCCTCTCTCTGCTTCCTGATCAGCCCCCCTTCCCCCAGTCCCGGCCGCAGGAATCCATTCTCATTTGCCTATTGCACAGCACCACCCGATGTTCCCCCCTCCGCACCCTGTGCAGGGACCAGGCTGTCCTCTTTAGCACTCTGTGGCCACTGCCGACCAGGGATGCCTTCTGCAGGAGGGCAGTGGACACTGGTTGTCCCTGTGCAAAAAGACACGGGTTAGAACACAGAGCAGTGGCGGTCGGGTTGGGTGAAAGGATTTAGAGGGATTTTTGTGTTTGTTATGTTGGTTTTTTTGAATTAAGTTATAAAAATGACAAAACTATCTGAATTTACAAACCTGTAAGCTTCATTTTCTAAAGTCATGACAGTGCCGCCCAGTGGGATTTCTGTGCCGATGGAAATGTTCTGCACCCACAGTGCCCCGCACAGCAACTGCCGGCCATGTGGCTGCTGGTGCTCGAAATGTAGTTAGTGTGAATACGGACCTGAGTTTTAAATTTTATTTCACTGTGATGAAGTCTTCATAACTATCATTTTAATGGCTGTATAATATTCCATTATGGGCATACACTCATTTTAATGCCTTTTTTGTTGTTGTTAATCCTCACCTGAGGATATTTTTCTGTTGATTTTTAGGGAGAGTGAAGAGAGAGGGAAAGACAGAGAAACATCGATGTGAGAGAAACACATCAATTGGTTGCCTCCTGCTCTAGCCCTGACCAGGGCCTGGGTGGGGGAGGAGCCGGCAACTGAGGTACGTGCCCTTGACCGGAATCAAACCCGGCTCCCTTTGGTCTGCAGGCCAATGCTCTATCCATTGAGCCGAACTGGCTAGGGCTCATTTTAATGTCTTTATAATAGTCTGTCATATGGGTTTACCATAAATGCCTTTATAGTTGCTCAGTATTCCATTATATGAAATTTTATAGATCCATAATTTACACAACTGTTTCCAAATGTGAGCATTTAGGTTGTTTCTGATTTTTTTCTTTTAATTATACCACCACGAACAAAATTTTCCATATTTTATGTTATTTCTTTAGCACTTATTCTCTGAAACAGAATTGACAGACCAAAGAGTGTCAGCATTTTAAGGATTTTAGTACATACTGAGTTAGGCACAAGTAGGTTTACAGTTGTGAGTACATGGAACAGTTTATTTTTGCATTATTATTTATTATTTTTTTCCATATAAACAACTATAAACCTCCTTTTGCCCCACCTTGTCTACTGAAATTGTTGGTGGCACAGTTCTTTTGGAAAATAATAGATGAGGGTGCCTGTTTTACCATAGTCTTAGCAGCATTATTATAAATTAAAAAATTGTTACCTAATTTGATATACAAACAATGGTATTGTGCAATAATTATTTAAAAAATAGTATTGTGCTCCTTTAATGTGCGTTTCTTGGGTCACTTGTAAAGAGAAAGCTCCATATTTTTCCACGTGTTCGTTACTGAAGAGTTTCTTTTGTGTTGAGATAAGTTGTGTGTTAGGTTTCATAAACCCGTGGTCTCTGTCTGGACTACATGTTCGGCACCGTCGACTTGTGCGGTGATTCTTGGGCTCGCACTGCCGGAAAGGGCTCGGTTCTCACTCAGCGAATGTGCAGGTGGATTGCGTGGCAGGGACTCATGTGCTGTTACTGGTGTACTTGGTAAAATGATAGATTTTTTGTAGAAATAATTTGAGACTCATTAGAATTGTTTAAGACGCCCCTGAGGCTTTACGTTCTGAACCCTCTTCTCTTCAGTGATGGCACTTGTGCTGTACCTGATGATGCCCATTGTGAGTGTCAGCGAAGTGCTTGGGCCCTTGTGCCTTATGCTGCTCATGGGAACCGTCCACTGTCAGATTGTGTCGACGCAGATCGCAAGGCCGTCGGGAAGCAATGGGAGTCGGAGAAGAAGGTGAGCTGAGACGTGCACTTGCGGTCGGGTATGTTCTGGGAGGCACTGCAGATACTGAAAAACCTTGGATTAAAGTAATAAATCTTCCCATTTGCATGTATTTTTTATTATTTTTTGGCTAAAAAAGAAAAGAATGCTTTGCTTTTCACTTTTCTCCCGGTTGCTAAGAAGACTTGTCATGAATTTTTAATCGCAGGTGGGACTTTGTCATTCAGGACAGTTGCTTAAAAGGAAATTCCTATACTATTTTCATATTATTCTTTATTAAAATATATCAAATAATGATTTTGAAAAAACATTCTTCAGAATTCAGTCTTAATAAAAATTTGGTGAAAACTCACTATAAACAAGGATCTTGATACAGTTGGGTTACTGCTACTAAAAATTTCACCTTGTCTCAATAGTGCATAATAAGAATGGATTTCTAAGTGCTCTGAACTTCTAGTAAAGATTGATTTGACTTTTCTCCACCTTGCCTTCATGTCGTGATTGGTTGGGTGCTATGTGCAGGCTTTGAAATTGTTAAAGGTCTCTTAGGCTTATGTGCTTTTATTTTCCCTCAGGGTACCTGTAGATTTTTGTTTCCCTAAGCAGGTGCTAAATAAGATTATTTCCATTTGATGCAGTGAATTTCAACATATTTATTCTTATTTTTTAGTATTATTTTCTTCTTTTTTTGAGTATTATTTTCAAAATAATTTTTTCCCCCCAAAAGAAGATTCCTTGAAAATTCAGGTCAGTTGCTGTAATGTTTGCTGAGGGAATCGGACGCTGTGCTGTGTCTTGGTGGTATTTATAGGACGCATCCTTTAACTGCATGGGAGAGCAGTACTAAGTGACTAGTTGCTATTATTTTGTGCTCTCCTGATTAAATGTGCCAAATGGGTGGATTTCCGACGTCCGAACTTACAGGCATCGTGCCTTGTGCTGGGGGTGCCCGGAAGGACTGTGTCATGCAGGTGAAAGCTGTTCTGCAGTGTTTGAATAGCGGTTCTATTTCTCTAATGGTTGAACAGGATGATAGCACAGGTCTTTGTTTGGCCCCGCTTTTTGCCCTTCAGTCAGAAATATCCCTGCCAATTGATCTTCGTTATAGGAAGTTCATTACCCTTAATTTCAGGTGGCAGCAGTTAGGATCACTTTCCGGAGGGGATATTTTGGGCAGAAATAGAAAAGGTCTTGAATCATCTGAAGTGTTGAAATGTTTGTGTTTTTTATAGAAAATTACGAAAAACTGTGAATGGTGACGGGAGCCGAGAGAATGGAAATAACTCCTCTGATAAGGTCAGAGGAGTCGAAACTGTGGAACCCGGACCCTTCGCCGGTGGCTTTTGGGGGACTCTCTTTGGCAGCAGGTGAGCAGCCTCGCGTGGGAACGTTTGTGACTTTGTCTTCACATTGGTGTTTACGTGGCGTAGACTCCGCCTGGGCTCCGGAGCACCCAGTGTAGCACGTTCTCATCGCGGCTGGTGTTTGGAGGCGCTGCATGAACTGCTTACTCGGCAGGTCCCCGCTGTCTGTCAGTCACCCGTAAGCCCGGTAACCTACCATCAGGGTCCCCTTCTGCTGGGCCTCTAGTGATGTTCAGCCACAGGATCACAGAAATACAGCCACTCCGAAAGGGTAACTGTCCTAAGCCATGCGAACCTTCATCACGAGAGAAGGATTTGGAAAAGATGAGGTCGTTTTCAGTGTCCACGCTGACGCCGCCTGGGGAAGGGGAGGCGGAGCTGGCGTGGGGGGCTGTGGGGCGGAGGGGAGTGGGTCCAAGACACCCTCCCTCCCATTGCCCTGCAGGCTGTGACCACACGCGTAGGACTCAAAGCAAGACTGGCCGCATATTAATGAGTGTGACTCGAAAATAAAGTTCTTTTAGTGACCGTTTTGAAGATGAAGTTTGTTCACATATTTTCCCAAAGAGATATTTACACTCCTTAGCTGGCGTGTGTGAGTTCTACTGAGCATCGTGCTGGGCACTGGCCTCCCCTCTCGGTGGCTTACTGTGGAGTTAGTGGGGGAGGGGGCGGTCACGGCACAGATGTTACATGACCGCGTGCTGACCGAAGGCCAGGCAGCCCGCAGACGGAGCGGTCATTCTGGAGTGGAGGAGTCCCCAGGAGCCACGCAGGAGCTGAGCGTGGCCGGGCTTTGAGGCACAGGAGAGGGACGGACATTCTACGAAGCGGCACGTCAGGCGATGGGAGGGAGGGGCCGTTTGTGTTTGAGGGAAAGTGGGGAGGACGGCACCTGCTTCCTGGCAAAACGGGCAGCACAGGCCTCCTCTCAAAGAACTGACCGAGGCTTTAGAGACGGGGCGGGGGGAGGGGTAATCATCGTCTTCCTCCACCTCAGCAAGCGAGAAGTCTAAACAGGATGGTTTCTGAATGTTCTAGATTTTCAGAGTAAAATCGAATTTACTGGATTTCATGGAAGATGCTAATTTCAGGATGCTCATCAGTCATCTTTTTTCTTTTAAAAAAAATAGGACTAAAAGAGTAAAATTAACATGCAACAAAGAGACTGAAACCAACAAGGACACCGGCTACCTGCGTCCCATCATTAAGAAGCGACAAGCTCGACCAGAGGTTAAAACGTGGCCGACAGCAGAGAAGGCAAAGTTTTCCGACGGGGAGAAGTGCCGCAGGGTAAGAGCTGTGGGTGTAAATCTCACAGGATCTTTTCTCTCCGTGTGAATGTTTCCCTTCTGACACCCTGAGAGGTGGGAAATCGTGCTAATGGGCTTGCGTACTTTCTCTTAACAAATAAGCGACATATAAACGCACAGGAAGTGAAAGGGAGGCTGTAAGACTGTAGCTCAGTGGTTCTCAACCTTCCTAATGCCGCGACCCTTTAATCCAGTTCCTCATGTTGTGGTGACCCCCAATTTCATTGTTACAAATTGAACATAATTAAAGCATAGTGATTAATCACAAAAACAATATGTAATTATATATGTGTTTTCCCATGGTCTTAGGCGACCCCTGTGAAAGGGTTGTTCGACCCCCAAAGGGATCGCGACCCACAGGTTGAGAACCGCTGCTGTAGCTTATTCTTCCCATTTCTGGGACTGGAGTTGTGATGCACCTGCTGCGGACCCGCCTTGCAGCAGGGCTGGGGGTGTCATCGCCGGGTTCGGGTAGAGGCATGAGCTGTGGTGAGGCGTGGGAGCCTGCGTTCTAGGTTTGGGGAGAGGCGTTCTGCTCTGTGTCTGAGACAGACTGCTGCTTTATCTCGAAAATGTGTTCTCACTTGTTAAACTGTGACATTACGGAATCACAAAAGTAGCGAATATTTTTGAGTTGTTCCTACAGCCGGGCGCTCTTCTAGGCCTTTGCCTGGAGTAACTCCGGCCATTTTTTCAGCAGGCCTGCGGCACGGGCGCCTTGACTGCCATTGCTTTTCAGGAGGAAACCGAGCCCCAGACACACAGGAACTGGCCTGCGGTGGCCGGGCTGGGCTCAGGCTTAGGGTGACGCTTGCCCGTGCTTCTCACCGCCCCGCGGCCTCATGGCTTGGGCCGCTTAGTTTCAAGTTCAGCATTTTGCTGTCTTGCGGTCGAGCGCTGTTGGGTCTGTGGGTGGTGGTGGAGTTGCCTTGCACTGCGTCCTGGGTTGTGCTGCGTGGTGTGTGCACGTGCAGCTGCTGGCGTGTGTCTGCGGCCCTGGAGGAACTGCTGTCTCTGCAGGAGGCTTTCCGGCGCGTGGGGAACGGCGTGTCGGATGATCTGTCGAGTGAGGAAGACGGGGAAGCCCGGACGCAGATGATGATCCTGCGCCGGAGCGTGGAAGGGGCCTCGAGCGACAACGGCTGCGAAGTCAAGCATAGGAAGTCGATGCTTCCAAGGCACATCAACTCTCAGGTGGCCTTTATTGTAGTTGACGCAAGTCTAGGCATTAACTTCTGAGTCATCGAATAGTCACACAGTGTTTAACATGTTTCCTGTCGCTCGTTGGCTTGATATTTGGCAGGTAACGAAAACCACTACCAAGTGGTGTCATTTTATGCGGGATTCCGACAGTCTGGCCGAGTCCGAATTCGAATCGGTAGCCTTCAGCCAGGTAATGGGTCCCCTGGAGAGCGCACTGTTCAAGCGCAGTGACTTTCTCATCCCTTTTCGGATAGTTGTTCCAAAGTGGTGTTTATAGTTGCGTGCCCCTCCCCTGCCTGCCCCTCTGTCCACCTAACAGCTTCTCACCCAGAAAGAGAATGAACTCTTTTCATTTGACCTAATCTTTTTTGTTTATTTTTTTACTGTTTTCTAATGAGATTTATTGGGGCTGCATTGGTTAGTAAGATTATATAGGTTTCAGGGGTGCATTCCTATGACACATGACCTGTGTATTTATTGCATGGAGTGCTCACCACCCAAAGTCAGATCATCTTCCGTCGCCATATATTTGGCCCCATCACCCTTTACGAACCGCCCCATTGCGACCTAGTCTTATGGTCATGGGTGATGCTCAGGTAACGAGAAGCTTGCTGAATATTCACCTGAAAAGGGGAGGTTACATCTGACGAGGACAGGCTGTTGGGAAAGGACCCCTGAGAGGTGGGAGCGGACGGTCCCATCAGGAAAGCTGAGGGCCTGTGGTACGTGGGAATGTTGTGATCGGGTAGAGCATCTCTGTCATGTGAGGTGGAGCCTGTGGTTGACGCGGGAAAGCTTGCCAGCCGTCGCCATAACTGTGTTCCTGTTACTTCAGATGTGTGACCGTTTCTAAAAATGAGTGAGAACATTCCTTTGTTTTCCTTTAAAGTGCTCTCGATCTGGCGTGAGTGGCGGCTCTCGCAGCCTCAACATGTCGAGAAGAGACTCCGAGAGCACCCGCCACGACTCGGAGACCGAGGATATGTTGTGGGATGACCTGCTGCACGGCCCAGAGTGCAGGTCCTCCGTCACCAGCGACAGCGAGGGGACAGCGCCCACCCTGCACTCAGGGACCAAGCGTGACCCCAAAGAGGATGTGTTTCAGCAGGTCTGTACAGGCGATGGCAACAGTAGCCAGGATGTACTGTGTGCTTCCCCTGTGCCAGCACCGTGTGGTCTCGTTTCACTTTATAATCCTATTAGGAGATGCTTTTATTATCCCTAATTTAGAGATGAGGAAATGGAGCATAGCATGATGATTTTGACTTCCTTTGTACTCTTTGGACTTACAGTATAATTTTAAGGCATATGTAAGAACTAGAGGCCGAGTGCACGAAATTCATGCACAGGTAGGGTCCCTAGCAGCTGCCGGCTGGAGCCTTCCTTCATTCTGCACTGCCTCCTGGTGGTCAGCGCACGTCATAGCGAGTGTTTGAACTCCCAGTTGGTCAGACTCCCGAGGGGACACTTTGTATATTAGGCTTTTACATATATCTATGCAAAGTGTCCCCTTGGGAGTTCGACCGGGAGACCTAGAGTTCAATCGCTTGCTATGACATGCACTGACCACCAGGGTGCAGCACAGAATGAAGGGAGGCCCTGGCCGGCAGCCAGAAGGCCCCGATTGGCCCTGATCGCTGGCCAGGCCTAGGGACCCTACCCGTGCATGGATTTCGTGCACCAGGCCTCTGGTAGATAGATAACTAGGTAAGGTAAACTCGCATGTCAAATGGGATTCACCATGTCCCAGTCCCCACACCTCCGCTTCTTTCGGTCCCCATGTTTCTGAAGGCCACCACTAGCCACCCCAGGCAGAAGCTCTAGGCATTCATGCCCTCCCCTCCTCCCCATGTTTCTCAGGGTCCTCACTTGCTCTCGATCCTGCTGTTGAGCATCTGTCTGTCCTCCTGGGCCCCCTCCCCCCACCCACTGCTCAGTGCCCACCATCATCGGCTCCCAGCTGGTCCTCACAGCGGCTCCCCACAGCGGCCCCTGCACTGCATTTTCCACGCTGCAGCCAGAGTGATGTCAGATCTGATGTTAGCCCTTTAACGTCCGTGGCTTCTCCCCTTCTGGATTATTCGATTCTGTTCCTTTATTTGTTTTGATACAGTCTCACCTCTGACCACTCCTTCCCTGCTCATGTGCAAGGACCACATGTCAAGGACCACATCTGTCTTGTTTACATTGTATCCATAGTGCATGTCACATAGTAGGTGCCTGATAATTTTTTTTTTTTTGCAAAATCATTAAGTGCTCATCAGTATGCTAAGCATTGGGGTAGAGAGAGCATACACCATAGGGTCCTCTATTGGAAAGTTATAGTCCAGTTTGGGATAAGATTACGATACGGTGAATAAGTCAAGGACACTGGAAACGCAGCGTATAATTAGATGCTGACTTGTCTGATATAGACTGTAAGGCCACAGGAGGCTTGTGGGGACCAGAGAGGACCACGCTGGCGAGATGGGACCCGAGCTGCTCGCTGCCAGAAGCACAGGCAGGACCTGGCCGAGGAGAGGGGCTGCTGTCATTGCGACCGTCTCTTCTTAGGGTTCCTGTGCTTTTGTGTCCTGGTTCGATTGGAGAAAGGCTTCCTGCTCAGTTACTCACGTGATATCGATGGCCTCGCGCCTCTCACATCCCCAGGAGAGCTGTGTTACTCTAGAACAGCTTTCCTTGCTATCCGATGAGTACTCCAAGCTCATCCTCACATCCATGCGTTTAGAGAGGGAAGCAACCTTGGAGATTGTGGTCCGGTTGCTGTAGAAGACCTTCAGCTTCTCTCCAGGTTAAAAAAAAAAAAGGCTTAGCAAAGAGAAAGGGACCAGAACTCGGCATCATGGAGGTGGCCATTGGGGTGCTGAGCTTTGTGAGGGAGACAAGAGGAGGAGGAGGCTGGCCGTGGCCGAGGCAGCCTGGGAGCTGGACGCGGGGGACATGCTGATGGAGGAGAGAAAGCGCGGATAGAAACAGCTCTGTTTTTCTTCTCAGAACCACTTGTTCTGGCTTCAGAACTCAAGTCCCGCCTCTGACCGAGTCAGTGCCATAATCTGGGAGGGAAACGAGTGCAAGAAGATGGACATGTCTGTGCTGGAGATCAGCGGCATCATCATGAGCAGGGTGAGCTCTTCGTCGTGAGTTTTTGGTTTTTCAAAAAATCTATTTAGTGACCAGCAGCAGTTTCACAGAAGTGTTCAGTGATCGAGCAGTTTCCGAAACACAGACACATGCATTTTTAATTTTGCAGTCAGAGTCTTTAGGTGGTAATACTTTTGTTGTGTTACAAAGGTCTCTGAGCACGATCCGTTCAGGTATATCCTACACATGTTCCTTATCTCATGTGAGCCTGATTTGCAGTAAGATCTAAAAGACATAAATCCGGACATCGTTTTTATTTTTACTTCTTTTAGATGTAAAGGGTAAGTCTTTAATCACCCAAGTAGTATTTGACAAATACTGCTGCCTAACCGTGTTCAGTATGTAGTAATGCCAGGCATTTTGAATTAATTCCCAGGTCAACGCGTATCAGCAGGGCTTGGGCTACCAGATGCTGGGCAACGCGGTCACCGTGGGGCTGGCCTTCTTCCCTTTCCTGTATCGCCTGTTCCACGCCAAGGGCCTGGACCAGCTCAAGTCCGTCTCGACCGAGGAGATCTTGACTCTGTTTTGTGGGGCTCCGCCTGTCACTCCTGTTGTTGTTTTGTCCGTAATTAACTTTGTTGAACGGCTGTGTCTTACGTGGATCTTTTTTTTCATGATGTGTGTGGCCGAGAGAACGTATAAACAGGTTGGTGGGAATACAGTTGCTTAACTCTGCGTTTATGTCTGACACTTCATGGATTAGTTCTGTTCTCTTAGTTTGTTCTTTCTCCAAAAGTTAATGTGGGCAGTGAAGGGTGGAGCAGCGGGCTTCTGGTACTTGTGAGTTTATGAATCTCCACAGTGACTTCCTGCCATTTGAAAGCTCACTGAGCTGAGGCGGGAGATGGGGAGGGAGTAGGTGGCTGAGCCAGGGAGCGAGCCCCTGCTTAGGGCCTGCATCTCAGTGTGCCTTTGCTGGTTTTCACCCGTAGCACATGGAGTAATTCTCACAGTAAAAGGATTCTGTGAAAAATGCCCGAGCGGGAATTAAAATGATTGAAATTTGATCAGAGTTAGGGGTTGAGGACTTAATATATCAGTGGCATGTGCAAAAAACAGGGTTTTGAATGGAAATGTAATTTGGGAGGAAGCCAGACTTCTGTGTAAACGTTTGTTTTTGAAGCTGGGTCTCCAGCAATAGTCCATGCAAACGTGAGGAGCGGGTCTCCCTGAGAAGCCTGTGCCCCTCTCGTGCGCCCTGGGAGCAGCAGGAGAAGGAACGGGTCACGGTTCGCCACTGCCCGGCCTAGTGATCGGTGACTGGAGTGTAACCCTTTTAACCATTTTTATGTGCTGGGACTATCGCTTACAGTCAGACAGATGCGCAGGCACACGTGTCCACTTCATTCTGTGATTTCTTTCCGCCTCCTCTAGAGATTTCTGTTTGCAAAACTCTTCAGCCATATTACTTCCGCCAGGAAAGCTAGGAAATACGAAATACCTCACTTCAGACTGAAGAAGGTGGAGAACATTAAGATATGGCTCTCACTGCGCTCCTTCCTGAAGGTGGGTCTCCTTCGAGGGGCAGCAGGGGCCATGGAGGCGCCGACGCTCCTGCAGGGACAGTGCGGGCAGGGCAGTTCGGGCCGGTCGTTCTGATGGCGTCAGTGGCTGGAGGTGATACATCTTCGGGCCCGTGTATGTGAAGAAGAGCTTAGGCAGGAAAAAGAAAGTGTAAGTTCCCAGGGCGGAGCGGAACATCAGATATCGCATCTTTTTCTGACTTTGGGGCAAATATCTCAGCTGGAATGTTGTCAGTGAATCACTCAGGCCCTTCATGTGGAACAGCCTGGGTTTCAGTGCTTAATTACAGTTGAAGGCGCTAGAATCCCACGTCAGGAACTTCTTATGAATGTATATTTTAACATTAATGCAGAAAGACCAAAGAAAAAGGAAACAAAACAAGACAGACACGAATGCAGTGAAATTCACGCTGTTGCTGTCTCTGTTGGTAACCTAGCAATGAACCCGCGTCTCTCCACAGAGGCGGGGCCCGCAGCGTTCCGTGGACGTGGTTGTATCTTCAGTCTTCTTACTGACACTTTCGATTGCTTTCATTTGTTGCGCCCAGGTAAGCGTTTCATCTCTGTTTTGGACACTTCGCTGCATTTAAGTGTATATATGTATGTGTGTGTGTGTGTGTGTGTGTGTGTATATATATATGTATATATATATATATATAGTGTC